ACACTTGAATGAGCTGTGTTCAACCAAGTCTCTGCCTTTCTCACACAGAACAACCTCCTCGACAGCAATCAGTCTGGTTTCAGAAGTGGAGAGACTGCCTTGCCTGCCTTGCTCTCAGTTGTTGAAGCCCTAAGACTGGCAAGAGCGGATTCCAAATCTTCAATGCTAGATCTGCTGGATCTGTCCGGTGCTTTTGACACTGTTAACCACCAGATCCTCCTATCAACCTTATTGGCAAATGGCATCTCAGAAACCGCACTCCAGTGGTTTGAGTCTTACCTATCAGATAGGTCCTTCAAAGTATCTTGGAGAGGGGAGGTGTCCAAGTCGCAACATCTAACTACTGGGGTGCCTCAGGGCTCAGTTCTTTTCATATTTCATATCACTGCTATGCTGATGACACTCAACTCTACCTCTCATTCCATCCTGATGATCCGCTGCTCGCACAGCTTGTCTAGCAGACATTTCTTGCTGGATGAAGGACCATCACCTTCAACTCAACCTGGCCAAGACAGAACTGCTTGAGGTTCCATCAAACCCGTCGTTTCATCACAATTTCACCATCCAGTTAGGCACATCAACCATAACTCCTTCAAAAACAGCCAGAAACCTTGGAGTTATGATTGATGATCAGCTGACTTTCTCAGACCACATTGCTAAAACTGCCCAGTCCTGCAGATTTGTTTTATTCAACATCAAGAAGATCAGGCCCTTTCTTTCAGAACATGCTTCACAACTCCTTGCTAAAGCTTTTGTTCTGTCCAGGCTGGACTATTGCTATGCTCTCTTGGCAGGTCTTCCAACCAGTTCTATCAAACCTTTACAATTAATCCAAAATGCCGCTGCAAGATTAATCTTTAATGAGCTGAAAAGAACGCATGTCACACCTCTGTTCATCAATTTGCACTGGCTACCAGTAGCTGCTCGCATTAAATTCAAGGCATTAATGTTTGCCTACAAAACCACCACTGGCTCTGCACCCCTTTACCTAAATTCATTACTTCAGACGTATGTGCCCTCTAGAAGTTTGCGTTCTGCAAGTGAATGGCGCTTTATTTTGCCATTCCAAAGAGGCACAAAATCACTTTCTCGGACTTTTAAAGGGGTCATATGATGCGATTTCAATTTTTCCTTTCTCTTTGGAATGTTACAAGCTCTTGGTGCATAAAGAAGATCTGTAAAGTTGCAAAGACTAAAGTCTCAAATCCAAAGAGATATTCCTTTCTAATCATCCTACTACTTGTCCGCTTGATCCTATTCCATCTCATCTTCTTCAAGCCATTTCTCCCGCAGTTGTACCTACACTCACTCACATCATTAACACATCCCTCCACACTGGTGTTTTTCCCTCAGCATTTAGACAGGCTCGTATAACCCCACTACTTAAGAAACCCACCCTTAACCCATCTCTTTTAGAGAACTACAGACCAGTTTCCCTTCTTCCTTTCATTGCAAAAGCACTTAAATGAGCTGTGTTCAACCAAGTCTCTGCCTTTCTCACACAGAAGAACCTCCTGGACAGCAACCAGTCTGGTTTCAGAAGTGGACATTCAACCAAGACTGCCTTGTTCTCAGTTGTTGAA